GCTTCTGGTTGAGCATTGCTCCCCCTGTGGCAGCTCCTGCATTGAGGGTCTGCCCCCTTGTGGTCAGTGCACCTCATAGTGATCGTTTGATTTGCATATTAGCCTTTTATTATATAGGATATATATATTCGTGTGTGTGTGTGTGTGTGTGTGTGTGTGTGTGTGTTATTTGTATAAACACACACATACACTGAATGGCCAGATTATTATGATCTCTGAACACATAATAATCTGGCTACTCAATATATATATATATATTTTAGAGGCCCGGTGCATGAATTCGTGCATGGGTGGGGTCCAGCCAGCCTGCCTGCTGGTTGAACTCCTGGTTGAGGGGACAATTTGCATATTAGCCTTTTATTATTTAGGGTGGCCAGATAATTATGCTTTTAGAGATCATAATAATCTGGCCACTCAGTGTATATTGATATAACAGTTTAAATTCAAACAGTAGACTCCTGATTTATGGTCAGTTAATCTTTCCTCTCCTCAGAAAGCTTTTGTCTGGTGCCCTGCTTCCCCTGAGTTTATGGAGAGGCAAGGGCTCCTTAATCCAGACTGGAAACACCATCCACTGAATCAACTTCCTACCAGCCCTGTAGCATCACTTCAGTAGCTTCTGAGGGAGCCATATAGGAGACAGACAGTGCATTTGTGCGGCTCTCATTAAGGGGGCCAAGGGATCAGGTGGTGTTCAGTTGTCTTAATGCAGTTCATCTTCAGCAAAGTAAAGACAAGGGTGAACCTTGCTACTGTGTGAAGGCACTAAGAGCAATTAGAAGTGGCCCATCTCTCGTACTACTACCCTGGCTAGAAGAGGCAGCCCCACACTGCCAAGTGGGGCTTAGACCAGGAGTTCACGCAACTCCCATCTCCCTGCCTCAGCTTCCTGCTTTCCAGGAGAGACCCCGCCTGCAGGAAGGTGAAGCTCCTGGCACCCGAGGCATTAGAAAGGATGTATGTTGTGGAAGTTGTAAAGGATCCCGGAACCAGGGAGGTTTCATAGGAGGCTGAGTGAATGAAAAGGAGTCATGTGTGCCTGGCTGTGTGAGGAGGAGGAGAAGAAGAAGAAAATCCTGGGTAGATATCCTTCTAGGGTACTTTATGGGTCCTGCACATACTATCAATTAGCCAAATGCTTCTTGAGATATGCAGAATGTTAGATGGGCACCTTGGTGTTTTGACACTGAACTGCAATCATCTTAATGAAATTTGGGATCAGAAAAATATAAAAGGATTATCCAATTACCACTGGAGGTTAAAAATATATATATATATTCATTGACATTCTGCTTCATTCCATGGTCCCCATCACCTCACTGAGATTCTCCCGGTGAGGTTCCTGCACATGTGGAAGCCTTACTTTTGAAACTGCATTCGCCATTCTTGCTACATATATATATATATATATATATATATATATATATATTTTTTTTTTTTTTTTTTTTTTATAAATTCTCACCTGAGCATATTTTTTTAATTGATTTTCAGAGTGGAAGGGAGGGATGGGGGCAGAGAGAGAGAAACATTAATGAGAGAGACACATCGATCGGTTGCCTCCCATACCCACCCCGCCAGCAACCAAGATACTTGCCCTCGACTGGGAACTGAACTGGCAACGCTTTGATGTGTTGGCCTATGCTCTAACCACTGAGCAAACCCAAGCCAGGCACCACCTGCTTTTTGATTTGTGATGCTATGTGTTTGAAACTTGGTTCCCTCCTAGTATACTATTGGTGACCCCTCAGAAATTTAAATCCCAGTCATCCACGTGGGGGGGAAATGTGAGCTCTGCAAGTCTTTTGTTTCTGATGAGGAAATGTAGTTTCAGAAGGATTAACCTAAATCCCCTGAGTATGAATTTTTAAATCTCTAATTCCCTGACATGAAGTGATTTCATTGCAGAGATTGAATTAATCTCTTGCAGTTGATGGATAAACTGCTGAATTTCAAAACACAGATTTGTCCTTTGCTATTTGACCTCTGGATTGGGTGGCTGATCCCTCATGATGCCACTTATTGCATTTTTATTCAACTGGGAATGCTAAACCAGAGGTGCATTTGTGGCTCTGGTCTGTACCCAGCTGACACATTCAAGTAACGAACTTGCTTTCATTTTAAACACACTGTTTTATAAATCAGTATCTATATTGCCTGCAGCTGACATGGTATTCCTATAAATGTGAGCATAAAGATTGTGGGGCATAACTTATTTTATAGTTAAAAATGGAGGGAGATTTATGAAAGGCATAAAATATAGAGCCTTTGTAACTTGATGTACAAAGATTACTTTTATTGCACTGAATAGCAAAATGTAAAAGTTGCATTAACTGTTTACTTAAATCATCTTAATCAGTTGATTATATTCATATGTTTAACTATATTTCACTGTGTTATATTTTAGGGGTGTCAAGCTTATATTTTTGCTGCTATCCACTTGTAAATACGCTCAAAACAGGAGAGTTTGGACAAAGTTTTTGACGACAGGTACTTGATAAACATGATGCATTTCAAAAGTGGACTCGAATTAACCGAGTTGCAAAACATGACAGTGCCCGAGGATGACAACATCAGCAATGATTCTAATGACTTCACTGAAGTAGAAAATGGTCAAATAAATAGGTGAGTATTTTCCTAGCACTTTCTATCCAGTAAAAGAAATGTCTCTGAAATATTCTGATTTCCAATTACTCTCTTGAATTATTCATTACCAAAGTTATGCTCCATTTGAAGATGTAATTTGAATTTCTCATGTGACATCTGTTGGGCCTCGTCTGCAATAGCAGATGAATCAAATAGGAAAGCATTTTATTCATCCTTTCCCATCTTTCAATTGAGTCTAATAAACGTGTATAATACACTGGACCCCAACTAGCCCCAACTTCTCAGAAGCTCTGTGCTTGTGAATTAGGCGGACTATTGGCCTTTCACGGCAACCCACATCTGAATGTGTCCTGTCGTCGTCTGACCTTGCCCACGTTTTTAACCAGGAAATGGTCAAAGTCCCATTTGCCAACGTTCCCATGTTAAAACTACAAACGCACCATTCCAAGCATCGTTTGCAAATGGATTTTAAATGATGATAACTGCAGTTGAGCCCAGATGGCTCTATGAGAAACTGTAGTGGAGAAACAGCACACGTAGCAGAAGAAAAAGAAAAGATGCCACAGCCCTAACCGGTGTGGCTCAGTGGATAGAGCGTCGGCCTGCGGACTGAAAGGTCCCGGGTCAAGGGCATGTGCCCTGGTTGTGGGTACATCTCCAGTGGGGAGTGTGCAGAAGGCAGCTGATCAATGTTCCTTTATCCTTCTCCCTTCCTCTCTGTAGAAGATCAATAAAATATATTTTAAAAAGAAAAGAAAAGATGCCACGAGTGAGAGGAGGTGGAGAGGCAGGTGGGAAGAATGCTGGCCTGGAAGCGTTTGGCCTCAGCATGTCTTTCTAAGTCTTGGGTTCTGAGTTTCTTAGTTTCCAAGAGGAGGGCCCAATGTCTTTATGTTTTTGGTGATGTGGGCATTCTCTGACCTACTGAGTCATAGTCCGCTCGTGTGGGTCCCATAGCAGGAAGGTCTCCAGCTTGGGAGCTAGTGGTGCGGCTTGGTTGAAGCATGATGCCTCTTAAAAGGCTTGGAGAAGTGAGGGGAGTATCCGGGACTCCTTACTAGAACAGTAACGATGCTACACTATTGTTCTTGCGGTGGAGGGGTTGTCAGAAGGAAATTGGAGTTGAGGGAGATGACAACATTACATCACCTAACCAGGCGTCGTATTAAAAAGAGTGTCCAATAGTCTGTTCTCTATTCAGATGTAGTGTGTACATAAGTAAGTGGAAATCCAGCAGAGGAGGTAGCTGCCATCATTCACACATACTCAGAAGTTTCAGCCCTGCCTCTTCTTCTTTTTCTCTTCCTTAAATGTTCTTAGAGGTTAAGTCTCTATCCGGACACTTCCTCATTATAATCCCAAGTATCACTTACTGTTTTGTGAAATTTCTTATTATTGGACTCAAGTTCTCTTCTTTTTTATCTTTTCTGATTCAGATTATTAATAATAATGAACATTTCTTTTTTTTTTTTTTTTAAATATATCTTTATTGACTTCAGAGAGAGAAAGAAAGGGAGAGAGAGATAGAAGCATCAATGATGAGAGAGAATCATTAATTGGCTGCCTCCCGCACGCCCCCTGCTGGGGATTGAGCCCGCAACCCCGGGCATGTGCCCTTGGCCAGAATCCAACCTGGTACTCTTTGGTCCACAAGCCGACGCTCTATCCACTGAGCCTAACCAGCCAGGGCATAATGAACATTTCTTGACTGCCAGCTGTGTTTACATATATTGCCATTTATCCTTATAACAACATCATGCAAAGCATTCTTTTGCAAATAGGGAAAATTTTTAAATTTCCTTCTACAAGTAAGGAAAGTGAGTTCCAGAGAAATAAAATAACTTGCTCAAGGGCATACACAGGTTCATCTGAAGTTCTAGTCTTTCATCTCTATCCACCTGCTTCTGCTTATAATGCTCAGGCATTAGCAGTTCACTTAAACTCTGCCAGCGCTAATTTATGCTCTGTACTCCTGGACTGTTCTGCAGTCACTGCTGGCCTCCACTTAATGGTGCATGGGATCCCATCCATTTCACAAGCAGGACACTTTGGTTTTATAACACAGCTTCCATCCCAAAGCAACGCAGACCTTGGAGACCTTAAAATGGGAGTCAGTTTAATACTCAGTTTAGAGACTGGATTTGATTTTAAAGAGTTTTATTTACTAACAGTATCCCGTTTGTTGAGGTGATGACCATTCTCACCCCTGACGTGGGCACCTGGGCACCATGCCCAGTGAACTCACTTCTTCTGGGTCTGGGACCCAGATAGTGAGCTGGTCCAGCAGGTTTGCTGTTGGTGTTGACTCCTTGTTTTGCAGAATTTGGTTCCTTTACTGCACGTGCGGTGTGATGCATTTATTTCCTCCTTTATCTTACCTCCCCTCTTTCACTGGCACAGTTCATGAGCCTTTCTTTAGTTTGGCTCTAGGACAAGTAAAATTAGAAACAATGTATTATGCCAAGAAGCCAAAAAAGATAAATAAAAACCAGAAATGATCTCCACTATGATTGCCGCAAAAGCTATACCTAAATGCCTCTCATTTTTACTTATTTATGTTTTAAAATATATTTTATTGATATTTTACTGAGAGGAAGGGAGAGTGATAGAGAGTTGGAAACATCGATGAGAGAGAAACATCGATCAGCTGCCTCCTGCACATCTCCCACCCCCACTGGGCATGTGTCCACAACCAAGGTACATGCCCTGGACTGGAATCGAACCTGGGACCCTTCAGTCCTCAGGCTGACACTCTATCCACTGAGCAAACTGGTTAGGGCTTATTTATTTTTAATATATGTTTATTGATTTCAGAGTGGAGGGGAGAGGGAGAGGGAGAGGGAGAGGAAGAGGGAGACAGAAACATCATTGTTGCCTTCTGCACACCCCACACTAGGGATTGAGCCTGAAACTCGGGCATGTGTCCTGACCGGGAATTGAACCATGACCTTCTAGTTCATAGGTGATGCTCAATTTCTGAGCCACATCAGCTGGGCAATACCTCTCATTCTTCTTGTAGCTTTTTCACATTGATGGGAGGAAGGTAAACCCAATTGTATGCACCTAAGGGAACCAACCCCTGAAACAGGGAACTTCTGTGTAACAGTTCCTCTTTTTTAGGAAGCTAGAGAAAATGTTGAAAACAAATGTTGATCTCTGGTCACCTGGTATCTAGCTTACAGCTTTGCCTGGAAACTCCCCTATTCTTAGAATAATGTTTTAGGTTTAGGCAAAAATAGAGCCATTTGGGCACTAAAACACCTGCCCCAACTCCAGTTCAGTAGGTTTATTTCATGCCATAAGTTTTGGGTTATAGTCACAGAAATCTATACCTGGAACAGCAAAACCTTTCAAAATGTCCACTTAGACCAGTCCTGCTAACATTTTTGTTTGTTTGTTTGTGGTGTGGTTGGAGTGGTGGTGGTGATAGCGGAAGTGGTGGAGTAGTGGGAGTTCTGCTAACATGTTAGTGTGCGTAGGAAGTATCTGGGAACCTTGCTAAAATGCAGATTCTGGTTCAGTAGGTCTGGGAGGGGGCTGAGATTCTAATTTCTAGCAAGCTTCCAGGTAATACCCATACTGCTGGTCCCTGGACCGCACTTTTTTGAGTAGTAAGCTCTAGACTCTTCCCTGAGGAGTGAGCTTCCTTAGAGGAGGAATCATCTCTATATCTCATGTACATTGAAATGAGATAACAGTGCCTGATACAGAGTGGAAATTATAAAATACTTGTTAAATGAGAGAGGAAAACAGAGACAGACACAGAAGAGAGAGCCAGTAGTTAAGTGGTGTGATTTTGGACTTGTATTGAATCCCGGCTCTATCGATTAGGTCTTGTGTGATCTTGTCCTTTGAGCTTCAGTTCCATCCCTGTGAGAACCGGGATGGTAAAAAATACCTTACTTCCTGGGAGTGTCGGGGAATAGTAGATGTATTACTGTTTGTAGGTTAAGAACTCAGGCTCTGCCATCAGCCAGTTTGGGTTCAAATCCTGGCTCAGTGGTTTTGTTATTAGTAACGTTACTTTGGTCAAGATACTTAATTTCTCTAAAATGGGGCTCATGATAGTACTGACCAATACAATAATTGTGAAAATAGATGAGAAGATCCATGGAAGGTGCTTGGCAAGTGTTTGGTAAATAGTAAGCCTTCTAGTGTGAGATGAGTCTTTATCAATAAAAATGCATTTTCTTTCTTTGGCAGGCACTTCTTTCTTGTCTACATCAAGGAAGGATAATGTTTTAGGTCTGGATGATTGCTGATGGTTGTTACGTAAAAGCTGTTGGAATATTAGTAGATTATCCTAACTGTATCTAAGCAAATATTCACATATTTTCATATTTATTTACTCTTCTCATCTCTCTGTGTATTTGTTGTTGTGACCCAGGCAGCATCTAACGAAGTTCGAGAGTCCTTCGTTAAAATTGTTCTTAAAAGGATTTGGGGCAATTCTTGTCACTACTCCCCTCCCCCCCTTCCCCCCGCCTCCCCCTCCATCAGCCTTTATTTATTTATTTTTGTCCCTGTATATGCTTCAAAGTTCATGTGCTAAATTTATATCACTTGGGAGAATCCTTAAGAAGATTCCATCAGTTTTATGTCAGAAAATTATTTCCTTGCTTTCAGAGCTCCTGTTACAACCTGGATTTCTCCTGTTTTCAGTAGAGTTTATCCAACCAGAAAGGCTTTGCTTACCTCTCAGTCTTCCCTTTAAATGCCTGCTGTTTCTTTAAATCTTACGTGTTCTCCAGCCTCTTTGTTACTTGCTTCTTTCCTCCTGTTCTCTTTTCGTTTTTTTATAGAATGTTGGAATTTCAGGAAAAGAACTGGGATAGGTCCTCTAAGTACAACCATTGATCTTTTCTGTGTGAGGAAACCTCAAATAGAACACTATAATCTAGTAAGAATCTGATTGGTGGGGATTAAACTAGGAAGAATAGTTTTCTATTGTACCATTCTTGTTCGATGGTTGTTGATGTTGATTTATTTTTGGTTTTAAATAACTGTTCTGTATTGCTCAGCCTCCCTTCACATCATTTCAGTAAAACACCTACTCCTTTTGGAGGCTTTGTCTGTTGAAGGTCACCATGACCGCCACTGTCAGTTTTTGTTTGGTTTTGTTCTCAGAACAATTGGCTACCTAATAGTTGATTGGATGATTCTTTGTGGATACAGACCAACCCAGTGAAAACTTTTTTTTTTTTTTAATAATACTTTCATCATCCTGAGACCACATGTCAAAGACATCTTCTTCCATAGCCCATTTTTAAGTGAATAAAGATAAATTTAACTCAATTTCTTTGCCAGAAGCCCGTGGTTTTTATCACACAACTGCATTTTTAAATGGTAAGATAGCAGAAACTGTGATAAGCTTCTTGACCTACTTATTTTGAATGGACTTTTCCATTATAAAAAGGTTGGTTTTATTTTGTTTTAAAAAAAAGTTTTCAGAAATACAAAGCAGAGATTTAAAGACTAAAGAGAAGAAAAAGTGGGTGGAGATATCATAAAGAGAAGAAAGAGGATTTCTTTATTCATTCTCTGTCCTTCTTACTGAGCCTGACTTCCCTGCAGCCTAAGCTACTCCCTAATTCCTAAATAGAAGATGTGTATTCGGTTTATGAAAGGTTCCTCTGAGTTGCTAATGCATGGGTAGGTACATTTAAGAAGGAGCTGAGGGGCTGAGAGCACTATACAGCAACTCTGGGTGGGAGATGAGTTTAGTAGCACAGAATGTGCCACAGAAAAAGTAATAAGTAGGTCGGAGTCAGGAAATTCAGCTCAGAGTATCAGAAGGCTCATGGATGAAGCTTCGAACTGGCAGGAAGGTGCTGGCTCAGAAGAAAATACAGGGTCTTTCTCCCCAGGGGAGGTGGATTCCCACTGCTGCCAGGTCTCCAGGAATGCTATGATCTTGTCCCAGTCCTCACCCCCTCTTGGGAAGATCATTTTGAGTGGTGGGAGCTGAGATTGAGACATTGAGGCAAAGTCAGATTCAGCAGCATCGGGAATTGCAGGGTGAGGGATTTACACTTGAAAAAGTCTCAGTAGGGGAGCCAGTGAAGATTTTTGGGAAAACCTGTTAGGTCTTGCTGCAGAAAGTGCGCCGGAAGAGGCAGAATCAGGGAGGCTCTTGAGATATAACATATTTTAATGTGCTTTTTGATAGTTCCTCATTTCAACAGCCCTGTGAGTCAGCTTCGTCATCCCCATCCTGCAGAAGTCCTGCAGGGAGGAGCCGGCAATCACGTAGCGGCCTTATTCTTCCTCCCCCCCCTTCCTTTCCTTTATCTTTTCTTTTTTCTCCCTTTCTATTTTACTCCAACTCCATGCACTAGATGCTACTTTAAAAAAAACCATGTCTTGCCAAAACCGGTTTGGCTCAGTGGATAGAGCGTCAGCTTGTGGACTGGATTACAAGGTCCCGGGTTCGATTCCGGTCAAGGGCATGTACCTTGGTTGCGGGCACATCCCCAGTAGGGGACACCACAAGAGGCAGCTGATCGATGATTCTCTCTCATCAGTGTTTCTGAGTAGAGAGTCCCTCTCTGTTCCTCTCTGTGAAAAATCGATAAAATATATTTAAAAAAAATAAAAATAAAAAGACCTATGTCTTAATGCGCCACCATTACTGGGGTTGATTCTTTCCTCTTCCTCCCCTTCGATGCCCAGTGACAGTGTTTGACCCTCCTGAGTGCCTGTCGCGTTACAATGGCGATACCGCTTTCTTCCCGGCCCATCAGTCTTCTGCCACCAGTCCTGGGGCAGGGGCCAGGCAGGGGGCTTGAATCTGCTCCAGGCGGTTTGCTAGTGTTTGGTTCAGATTGCTTGAAAATGTTTAGGCTATTCCATTAATTTAAAAATAATAGAAATTCTCTATGGAAAAGAAGTCCCTCCACAAGAAAAGCAAATGGGGGACCTCCAACCAATAAATATTTGATTGACTTGAGTTGATTATTAAAATTAGCCTGATTAAGTACAGTCTTTTATTTAATGTTTTTTTAAAAAAATATATAAATCCTCACCTGAGTATATTTTTTCCATTGATTTCGAGAGAGTGTGGGAGGAAGGAAGGGGAAAGAGAGAGAAACATCGATTGGTTGCCTCCTGTATGCGCTCCTGCCAGGTCTGAGGCACGTGCCCTTGACTGGGAATCGAACCCACAACCCTTAGGTCCGAGGGCTGATGTCCTACTGAGCAAAACTGGCCAAGGCCCAAGTGTATTTTTATTTTGGAAATCGATTTCATTTTGTTAAGTCCAGCAGCTGCATTACCTTGGGCTGCTTGTGTGAAAAGGAAGGCTGCTTTTTCTTGCCTCTCTCTAGCCAGGACTGTGACCCTCAATTCTGTGTTAAGGGCAAGAAAAGAGCCAAACACTCTATAACTGCCGGATTGGCCTCCAAAATATTGCTTTCATCATGTCCTTCCCTGTAATCCTACTTATCAGGCCACTGGCCTTAAGTGTCTTCTGGCTAATCCCTTCCAATAATGGTTTTCCCTTCTCTGGATTCCTTATCTCATCTCAATTTTGTGCAGCCTGGCATTCCTGTTCTGGTGTTAGCCAGTGTGGTCTCTCCTCCTTCAGAGACCAAGGTGTTTTTCCTTCATCTTCCTTTTGGTCTCTCACAGTGAGTGGCCAGGTGCTAGGCAAAGGCGGATGCTGGAGTAAACCAGATTGTGCTGCTTATACCAGGTGATGGTCTCAGGAAGTTTGCCTGTTTTGGTTTTTTTTTGGCAAAATAATGCAAACTTGGAAAGGTAATGCCAGGGAGAAGCCAGATCCCCTTAGATTAAAAATGAAAAATTGTAAATTAAGCCAATATTGATGACGTTTTCACTGAAAATGGTTTCTTATGAAACATAGCATTATTCAAAAAAAAAAAAAAAAAAAAGCATGTGAAAATGTAATGTATAGTTTAAAGATGAATGCTTCTTTAAAATAGTTCAGCTCAAGTGGCTTTACATTCATTAGTGAAACACTTATTGTGATTAGTTCATACTAAGACCAAATAATTAACTTTCTGGAAGAGGAAACAGCATGCCTAACATGTTTTACAATACAAGCAGCCAACAAATGGACTTTGATAATACCACTAATTTTTTTTAATGGTGAATTTAAAAAAATATATATATATAGTTTTGCCCTAACTGTTTGGGTCAATGGATAGAGCATCGGCCTGTGGACCGAAAGGTTCCAGGTTTGATTCCCGTCAAGGGCATGTACTTTGGTTGCGGGCATATCCCCAGTAGGAGGTGTGCAAGAGGAAGCTGATCGTTGTTTCTCTCCCATCAATGCTTCTGACTCTCTATCCCTCTCCCTTCCTCTCTGTAAAAAAATCAGTAAGATATATTTAAAAACAAAACAAACAAACAAACAAACAAAATATATATATATATATAGTTTTATTGATTTCAAAGAGAAAGGGAGAGAGAGATAGAAACATCAGTGATGTGAGAGGATCATTGATCGGCTGCCTACTGCATGCCCCACACTGGGGATTGAGCCCACAACCCAGGCATGTGCCCTTGACTAGGAATTGAGAGCCCGGGGCCTTTTAGTCTAAAGGTCAACGCTCTGTCCACTGAGCCAAGCCACCTAGGGTTTAATTGAGAATTTTTTTTTTTTAAACTAAAGATTTAGGCCATAAAGTTCTGATGTTAATGCTAAATATGGTTCTGAGAGCATTCTGAATTCCTTCTTCTATGTATTTGTGGACAATTTACTCCACTTAGCCTGCCTGAATCTTTCCCATCCCAGCTCAAGTCCCACACCCCCCATGTTGCTCCTAATCTATGACTGGAGCTGTAGTGATGATTTTATTTTCCCAAGAGCGCCATGCAATAATGTAATGGTGTTACTCTCCTTTCACAGAGGAAACTGAGGTAGCCTAGGGCCTTGTAACTAGGTAGTGAGGATTCAAACTCGCCTTCTAACTCCCTCCTTTTCTTAAAGCCTTAGCTCTGCCCCTACTCATGGCCTAATGCCCTGCCCCCACCACCATAGTTTCCTTTGCTGAACTCCTATGGCTCAGTGGCTGCATCCCTAGTACATACCCTCCTGTCTCTCTCATCACCTTGTCTGGTGACTTGCCTATGGCAGGTGCTGAAGCAATATTTGATGGAGCAAGGGTCATTTCCTTTTTTTCAGGGGAGAGGGTATTCCCATTTAATAACTTTGTACTCCAGGAATGGGAGCTCAGAAGGAATCCTTCCTCTGCTATTCTTTTACATGACAGCTTTAGAGTGTTTTTGACATTATCTGATTTGTAATTAGAAAAAAGATCTACTTAAACGTTAACTTACATTGCATACAATGTTTTAATGTCTTCTGATTGAAATGATTTGAATGAGATTGATAAGTTTTCATGTGTAATATGTTTTGGTAAGTAATAAATCACTCAGATAAAACGTTAAGCTTCAATCACTACCATGATGTTAAATGTATTACACGTGTCTTTACAGCAAGTTTATTTCCGACCGCGAAAGCAGAAGAAGTCTCACAAACAGCCACTTGGAAAAAAAGAAGTGTGACGAATACGTAAGTGTCATTATAATAAGTATGCTTATTTTTTAATCACATAAATTGGGGCAGATGTTTTTAATTCATGGAGCATAGTACCAAAGGCATAGCTATCTATAGTCACCAGAATGTTCCTCAGATGCTATGCATTTTCTCTGGAAACCCATTAAAAATCAACTAAACCACTAAGGAAGGTTTTCTTGAATTTAATTTGTGTTGGTTACTAATAGTGCTTTAAAAGGCTTTGGTGTGATTAACATATTTGGGGACTGTTTTGCTTAGTGTGAATGTTTGTCTCTTTGTTCAGATTCCAGGAACAACCTCATTAGGCATGTCTGTGTTTAACCTAAGCAACGCCATTATGGGCAGTGGGATTCTGGGACTCGCCTTTGCCCTGGCAAACACCGGAATCCTCCTTTTCCTGTGAGTGTTGACATGGCAGCATTTTTCAGTTTTAAACTGTGTTTTCTGTATGTTTCTATCCAAGCACAGTGAAATTGGAAATATTTTTAAGTAGTTTTTATTTCTTTTTATGTTTTTACTAACTTTGCTAAGTTACCAGTACATACTTTTGTATTTTTATTTGAATGATTTTCCAAAATGCACCCAATGTTTAAAAGAAAGTGAAAGAAGACAATCTTATTAATTACAAATACCAAAATAGGCATTAATAAAAATAATTAAAAGCATTTTATGTAATTTTGAACTTTTCATCTGTCACCTTAAATCTGCTAAATGGTCAAAATATTAAGAGGTGTTTAATCCAACTAGTCCACCACTGTAGAATATGGATTGCTTTGGAACATTTACCATATCCAAAACCAATTAGACATTGTTTAATAAATATTCAAGAAGCATAGAAGTTGACAGTGTTTTAAAGAAGAGAAAATAGCATGTACTTTTCTTCTGCAATTCAGTGAAAAGTAAATGGGCAATTTTCTTTTAAAATAAGTTCATCTCAAACTGTTACGTGTGACTTTGTGCCAATGTACAGAGGGCTTATTTTCAGTTGGAACAAGATGAAGACATACCAGGAAAATTCTCACCCTCTCAAACCTCAAAGGAGTCTCAGTGGTGCTTTGCCTGATAAGACATGGAAGGAATTCTCTTCTCCCAGGATCTTGCTTTTTCTCCCCTGACCATACTCATGCTCTTCATTGCCTTGCTCAGTAGTCTTCATTGCCAGATCATTTTGATGAGAGCCTCATTACTTGGGTAGCAGTGGCCAAAAGGACTACTATTCCTAAAAATGGTGGGTATTCCTTTAGAAAGGCTTAAAAAACTGTGAGGGATGTGCATTGCTTCCCATCCCTGTACTCATGGATCAGCAATGCACAACCATGCTGCCTCATTTTGGACCAGAGCATTAGGGATTAATCTCACTTTTGTGGGTAAAGCCACCAGAGGTGTCCTTCCTGAGCAATGAATTCAATGCTTTTTCTTCCTTAATGTCAACCTAACTCAGTAGCTTCCTCTCTTTTTTGCCCCGAATGGCTCTCTCTATGTGGCCTTTCTGCTTATGAATATTTGAGCGCAGTGCCTGGTTCTAGGATATAATCACTGAATTGGACAAACTATTTCTGTGGTGATTTTGTTTGAATGTGTGACCCTCTGAGGCTAGCTGCACTTCTGATTTTTAGTGCGATGACATGGAAACATAAATGCCTGTGTAGTCTGAAGCAGGTTAGCCACTCTGAACTTCAATTTCCTACACTTTAAAACAAGAATAGTACACTAGAAAAATCTCAGAACCCTGCCAACCTCCTAAACCCAATGGTTCTGTGACTCTTTTTAGTCATTCCAAAGCTGGAAGTAAGTTCAGTTCAGAAATGTGTTTTACATTGATTTCTTTTTTTTTTTTTAATTATTATAATATGTTAAGTAGTTATATGTTTACATAGAGTAGAGTCAACTCTTTAATAATGATAATACCCAGTAGCTCTTACTTTGTGCCAGGTACCACTCTGAGTGTTTTAGGCTGAATCCTTATAAGTCTGAGAAAGGAACTATTGTTAGCTCCCTGTTCCACAGACAAGGGAACTGAGTTATAGATAGTAACTTTTATTTTGAAATCTTTATTTGTCACTATTCTGGGAATTCCCTTCACCTCTCTTCTCTGCTAGACTTTTTATTTCCTATATTTCATTTCTTCCTCTTTCTGTATTTACTTCCTTGCCTTTGTGTTGAGAAAAAGGATGAATAGAAACAAAATGTTTGAGGTCTTCAAATTTGAAAATGTTTTTATTTTACCCTCATCTTTAATTGGTAGTTCAGTTAAATATAGAAATTATAGATTGGCAATAATTTTCCTTTCGACGTTTGAAAGTATTGCTTCATTGTTTTCTAGTATTTTTCTGTTGTGAAGTCCTATATACTAGTACTTCTGATTCCTGATCTTTCAAATATAGCCAGAGTTTTTGTTTTTCTTTTTCTGAAAACTTGTCAAGTCTCTACTCCCAATGTTTTTCAGTTAACAGTTTCTTAGTATCATCAAACATCCAACCAATATTTAAGTTGCTCTGGTTATCTCTTTTTTAAAAAAACCACTTGGATTGTTCAAATCAATACTCAAATAGGGTCCATATAGCATAAGTGGTGGATATGTGTTGCAAGTCAATCTATAGTTCCCCTTATTTCTTTCTTTCTTTCTCTCTCTCTCTCTCTCTCTCTCTCTCTCTCTCTCTCTCTCTCTCTCTCTCTCTCTCTCTCTCTCTTTCTCTCTCTCTCTTTTTAATGCACTTTATTTGTTGAAGAATCCAGGCCATTTGTCATATAGAGTTTTCATCAATTTGAATTCTGCTGATTGTATTCCTGTGGTACAAATTGACATTGTAGTTTGTTTTGGATTCTGTCTTTCCTTTTAGAATCTTTCCTCCGATGTCATGTCATCCTTCTTTGTTATATTCAATAGTGGAGAGGGAGGGCAAAGTTAATTTGAGTCTGATATACACTGATGGAGCTTGTTGGCACTTGTTGGAGGTGCTGTTAATGCCTCTTTACTTGTGGAACCACCAGTGTCCATTTCTCTCTATCTGTTTAAATCACCCAGAGAGCTTCCGGTCACCTGGTGGGAGGGTCTGGGCATTGCTGCCATCTTTCTGGAAACCAAGTGGTGGCAAAGGGTTGGGGTGACAATCTCAGCCTGCATGTGTTGACCCAATCCTAGTGTTCTTTATAGTTCCCCCTCCCCCACAAGTTGTGCTGAGTCTCTCCCCCGGAGACTTACATTTTATACTTTCCAGAGAACGTATCTTGGGATACGTATCTTTTGCCAGGACCAGGACGGGAGAGGTGTAGTAACACAGCTTTTCAGAGTAGGTGCCTGGTCTGGGGAATCCAGCCATTTCTTAAAAGAAGCTAAACAGATCCTCTTTTATTTTAGCCCTGCCATTGTTACCTACTTCCAGTAATGCCCCCAGGGTCTCTTGGGAATTCTGTGGTATAAATTGGATTAGTCTTGGCTTTCTCCACTGCCAATTTAAGATTCAGCTCTGCTACTTTTCAGCTGTTGAAATTTTGTTATTATTGTCTTCTTTCAAGTTTTTACTCCCGTATAGGCTTTATATCTTAAAAAAAAAAAATCTCTACTAAGATATCTATGATTCCTGGAATTCAGTTGATTATTAATTATGCTGGTGCAGGGGTAATTGATTTCTTATCGCGTGTCTCTTTAATTTCTGATTGAAAGCAAATAATTGGATAAATTTGACTTTCATAATTGCAGGGAGATTTCCCCTGGATAAATCTATTGTAGATCCTTTGGTTATTTGCAAGACATGCAGATAGCAAGCACAACACACTCAACCTTCAGGTTACAGTTCTTGAAGGTAGCTGTATATAAAGACCCAAACTTCTAAGTCTCTCACCCCAGGTAGGACCCACCTCCTTCAGCACAAGGACTCACTCTGTGTGTTGTAAAGCCAGCTGCTCCCATAGCTGCTCAAAGCCAAGAAGCAGTTGGCAGGATCAAGACACTTCATCTGGTACAGGGCCCTGTTCCAGACTCATATCGGCCAACAAGGAAAGAGAGTCCAAGCTCCTTTAGAAAAGCAGCCGGGAAGGCTCCTCTGTGTCTCCCGGAGCCTGGCTGCGGGCTCCTCCCGGGGCTCCTGTGAAAACTCGCTGGGGTGATCTCTTTTCTTTGGATGAGTGTGGGGCTCATTTGTTTCAGCCTCACCATAATGGCTGTCAGCCCTGTTCAGCACACATCTGATTCAAATAGGGCAGATCCAGGGAATTCTGCCGCGCTGTAAGGATGCTGTGAGGTTTTGTGTTTTCCTGAACTCTGAGGCCTCGTCATTCTGAGGAACAGAAAGTACAGGAGTGGGGAATCCCAGTATCCATTTGATCTGGAGGTCTATGTTCTCTTTTGGAAACAACATGGGGCTGGATCCTGACGCAGCAATTTGGGAATATGCCGAGGCGCAAATTCCGCAGGGTGATATGCACCTGTTGAGTTGAGTTTCCCCCGAGAATGGAGATCCAAGGAAAAGGCAGTGGGAAGGAAGGAATTCCTCCCACTGGGGCTGCCTCTTCTCTCGCTAATCTTCTGACACAGCTTTCCCATAATTCCATCAAAGCAAAAGTAGGGATTGGCATGGAAGTAAATATTGGCGTGGAAGTATGGTGGGTTTAGGTTTGTCTTGTTTTTTATTTACAATACTATCTCCTTTACCCCAGCCCGCAATAGGGAAGTTACATTATCTAAAGATTTCTATAACAGACATATATTTTATAGAAAATGAATCTCTTAATAATACGTCAACTCCTCATAGTGCTAGGTAAAGGAGAGGTTTATTGCACCATACAGAATCTGTTAAGCAATAAATACTTAATATTTTTCCATAACTTCTTAGCATGTAATATTATTATTTAAAAAAAAAAATAATGTAGCCCTTAAGATTAAAATCACACACAAAAAAAAGAATGTAACTTATTACATTTTTGAGAGCTTGAAGAGATAGCATAGTTATTTGTAAACACTGCATTTATGAGCACTCTGTTTGAAATGCTCATTGTGAAACAACATCTGAATAAAACAATAGTTTAGATTTTATTTTGGTTGATTATAACACCAGCCTTTTATGGGTCTTGTTTTCCATTTTCTGTCTTACTTGGGTAGTGTTTATGAGAATAAAAAAGATAATGTATCTAAAAACACACTTTGAAAAACGGTATGCAAGAAGACCTTTGTTAATTAATAACCCATAGCACTGCTATGTATGAGAAGTTAATGGGGCCCTAGCTAGTTTGGCTTAATAATGGGGCATTGGCCTGCAGACTGAAGAATCCCAGGTTTGATTCTGGTCAAGGGCACATGCCAGGGTTGCGGGCTCAATCCACAGTTGGTGGGACAAGGTGCAGGAGGCAGCCAATCAGTGATTCTCATCATTGATGTTTCTGTCTCTCATTCCCTCTCCCTC